TTCTCATCCATAAAGTAAACCAATTTCAATTATACATTTCAATTTCCTATTAGCGTGCCTTAATCTAATCACAAGTTTCATAAATCATTTCATGTTTCAAATCATCATTCCAAGGGTTTTTTATTTCAAAATATGGATTAAAGATGCTAATCCATCTACTTTCGGTCCCCAAATGAAGCTAATTTGGGTTCTCTTCAAAAATTGAGGTCAAAACAGGGTTTTCGAAATGACTCACCCTTTTTCCTCTGTCAACCGGCCGATCGGTGACAGAGATGTGCATCACCACCAGTCGGCCGGTGGTGTGCAAACCGGTTGACTGCATAGGTCGGCCGGTGGAGAACAGGAAGGCGAGAAACTCACCGAATCAGTCTAAAAACTAGCAAATTCGAGTTTAATTCGAGATATTTCAAAGGGAAATTACTCAATCCAGGTTTCAAATGACAAATCAAGTCCAAAGAATAAAAAATCCACAATTTATATCGGGATTTTACTCAAAATCCATTTCAAACTAAGACTAGGTTTTCTAACAGAAAAATTCGAGTTTCAAGATAAGTTTTTCCGAAATCTTACTTCAAATCCTTCTATTGACGATGAAAACTCCTTGAAATTCTTCTTTGGTTTGAAATCCGGTTGATTTTGTGACAAATTAGAGTGAGAACGCGCGAGAGAGAGAGAGAGAGTGTGTGTGTGTGAAAAACGACAGAGAAAGAGGGAGAGTGGGGGTGCACGGGAAAGAAAGGAAAAGAAGGAAAACAAAAAGGAAAGAAAAACATGTGTCAAAATATTTAAGAAGACAGTCCAGGAAATGTGTGTACACACACTTCTGAGGTGAAAATATAAATACTGAAAACATTTAAATTCCTTGAAATTATTTAAATTTACACGTCAAAAATACTTGATAAACAATAATTAATTAACTAAATTAAATTAGTCACACTAACAAATTTTAATTATCTTAATTAATCTCACTTAATTTCTCGGGGTGTTACAATGGACAAATTTGAATATTACTCAAGGGAGAAAAGAGACAATTTTGGGAGCTAATGGCCATGCATAACATCCTGTAGCTAGATCATATCTTAGTTTAATTGATGAAAAAAAAAAGAATAGTTCACTTCTTTTGTGTATATAAATGTTTTATTTATTTTCTCCTTTTCTGTGTGTAAATTCGTAAATAAAAGGTTTCCTTGAAAGTGCAATATAATTCAAAGTCAAAAATGGGGGGCGGTGAAAAGGCTAGGCACCTCTCGGCTCTCCATTCTAAACTAAAATCTAATCACGATAATAAATAGTGATTATTACTTAAACCACAAGCAAAAAGGAGAGGAGGAGAAAGGATTTGAGGAAATATAAAAATGGTGGTGGGAGTAGCACTTCAATAAAGTGCTTTAATTCATAAATAGTGTATTTGACTGTTAAGTGGAATATTTTTGCGTTCCTTCACAATTCTATTAAGGCATTGTTTATTTTATTGATTTAAATTTTTATAGTTAAAATTTTTTAAAAAATGTCACATTTAATTTTTTTTATTATAGTTAAAAGTTCTTAAAAAATGTAAAATCTCAATTCGAATTGAAAATTCGAATCTGTGAAGCGGACGAGGCCTAAATTTTCATTGCAATAGTAACCCAACGGGCTATAATCCTAGGCGTAGTTTTGGTTTGTTATTAGAACTTCATATGTATCACTCAATGCGGTCCTTCCTTGAACAAATAATCAATGTATTGTTATATTGTACATGCCTCATCATATATAGCTAGCCACCTTATTTATAAGTTTATTTGGAAAATTTTGGATCAAATACCATGAAAATAGTTTGGCAGATGTTTTGCCCCCACTATATCTTGATAGTTTACTCTTTTTTTTTTTTTTTTTCTTTTTGAGGGAAAGTTTCGACCGCCTAAAACATTCCATTTTCTATATAGTCCTGGAGGACCAAAATGGCCACTTTACTAGTGGTGCCGGAAATGACACGTTTCTTTTATTTTCTCACACCCATACATTATGAAAACCGTGTTGCCCTCATTTTTTTCATGCAAAAAAAAGTCACAACTCCCGAAAATAAAAAGAGATGGTGAATTGAATGAAACTATAATAGAGAAATAAAAACATGACATGGCTTGAGAGGGAAGATAGATAAAGCAAGTGCATGCAATGATGCAAACAAAAAACGATCCATAATCCCTGAGTTGATGGATCTCTGATCTCTTTCTCTCTCTTCCTGGCAGTTGTCATGTGTATTGTGTATGAAATATGCAATATTAAATATGAGTATGAGAGAGAGAGAGAGAGAGAGGAGTGAGTAGTGAGCAAGTTACTCCCACGCGTTCATGCCAGCTGTTTCGGCCATGGATTCCGTGATTGCGTGTATGATGACTACGTGGGTCCAACTTATATGATTTTTGAGTCTTCGCTTTTTTCTTTTTTTTTCCTTTGAAAATTGTGACCGAAAAAATAACTAGTAACTCTCTTTTTAAATCGTCATTATTAAAAGGAACTTTCTCTTTAGCGTTTTTTTAGAATGTTAGCGGTTTTTATTTATTAATCGTCAGGCTTATATTAAATTTAATTATAAATTAAATTAAATTAAAAAAATAATATAAATTTAACGGTTACTAAATAAAAAATATTGATTCTCTTAAAAGTATAAAAAATATCAAAAAAATTCTCTTATTAAATACTATATATTTTTTGTATATTTAAGTAACGTTTGGTTCATAAATTTAAAATTATGATTTATGATTTTAATTTTTAAAATTTATAAATTTTTTGTAAAAGAAAAATATTATAGAGAATCATAAACTATGATTCAGAACCAACGACGGATATATAAAATAAACGCCTCTTATTATTCCATAAAATTTTTTTACTGTTAACGTCAGTTTTTAATATTAAATCTAATCAAAACTAAAATCAAATTTAAAAAATATATGTAAGGAACCCTCTTTGGCACAAATTTAACTTAAAATTTGTCCTTTTTTATTATTTTAATCAAACGTAACATTTACATACATTATTAATTGGGAGTACATACCGTAGGAAGCTCAATTTAAAAAAAAAAAAAAATTATAGAGAAAAAGGTGGTGTATTTAGATAACTTGGCAGCACATATACATCTTTTTAGCTTATATAGTTTGTCCGTCACAATCGAATTAACTTAAATTTATATCAAAAATTATCTATCATATATAATTTTTTTAAAATTTAATGTGATTTTAACTTGATCTAACAGTTAAAAACTAACACTATTAATAAGAATGGTCTACTAAGACTGACCTACCAAAGAATTTTTTTCACTTAAATCCAAAATTTTATTAAAGACAATAGGTATTGTTGCTACCGCACCAAATTATCGGTGGTGGGTTTCTTCATTATAATTTGACAGAATTTAACATAAATTACATTTTAAAAATGTCTTATGGAAGGGTACCCAAAAAAATCTAATACTATTATTTATTTTGGTAACTTGGAGTGGAAGATTATTGGCTGTGGAATTACCAATAACTTAAGATTGAAATCACAATCTTTTTATCTCTAGAAATTATTGGAGAGTTTCTTTCTTTCTTTTTTTTTTTTTTTTGAAAGGAAATTGGAAAATTTCGTAGTAAACTATATCTACATATTCCTACAACAATAAAAATGTATTCATTAATAATAAATGTTATTAACATTGAGGGTTTAAAAATATGTACTCTTAAAATTTATTGCGATATTACTATCGAATCCCTTAAAGAAGCATACAAAATTTTCAATTAATAATATAGGAGATTCTCTGGTACGATTAGCATATTAGTAGATTAGTTTTTTTTAACCGTTAAATTTATGTATTTTTTAACTTTTACATGATTTTATTTAGATATGACAGATAAAAAAATTTAATCTATCAGTATGTTATCGTACCGAAAAAAATCCATGAAAATATTCGTTTTCTTTTATTTCCAAACATTTTTGTTTTCCTTTCCATGAGCAATAAATTTTTAAGACTCTAATCTACGATACGTGTAACTAATCTTAAAAAAAAAAAAAAAAAAAAAAAAAAGTTGTAGCGCAACGACGCTAATAAATGAATGTAACTGCAATTGACTGCAAATGTTTGCTTTGAAGTAAAACGCAGCTTCAAACGTAATTCCAATGTTTCATTCCTTGCATTTACTCCCCACCAAAAAAAAAAAAAAGGAAAGAAAGAAGAGATTGTTATAATAGGATTATATTTTATTTTAAAGGTAAGAACGGTAATAACGCAACTTACCTCATTTCAAAAAAGAATCATAAAATAATGCAACGTACCGATTGGTAATTCCCTTAAAAAAAACCTTCAAATAAATCAAAATCTAAAGAAAATACGTAAAAAGAATAAAAATAAAAACCCATTAAAATGGAAACCACGGAAGGAATAATTGGCGTATCAATTAATTAAGGGGATGTTTGATTAGAGGATTCAAATAATGATTTAAATCATGATTTATGATTCGTTACAGTATTTTTTCTTATAAAAAATACATGTAAATCAAAAATAGTTCTAATAACATGATTCTAATCTATAAACTAAACGTCTCCTCTCGTTTAGTTTATAAATTTAAATAGATTAATTTAAACATAATTTTAAATTTTATAAAAAAAATTGTAAGAGGATGTTTAGTTTATGTATTTAGAGTCATGATTCAAAATTATTTTCGTTTTACGTGTATTTTTATAAAAAAAAAATATTATAAAAAATCACAAAATTATAAATGAATATATGAAACAAATCCCTAAGTAATTCTAACTAATGAGACAAAAATGAGCTAAAAAAACGCGCTTATAACAAGTCCATTGCATGTAATGAAAGGTGTTTCGAAAATAATAAAACTAATGAATTTATCTCTGCGCATTGCCGACGTGGCAACACAATAATTCAAGAACGAGAATACAAAAAATTAAAAATAATAAATAAATAAATAAAACGATTAGCAAATAAATAAATAAATAAAATAAGAGAGAGAGAAAGAGATCGTGTCGCGTGTGGTATTAGCGACTTTTTGAGGAGTTAATAACTTCATTCAGTTCATAGAATTACTGAGAATAGAAGCAGGAGAGGAGAAGAAGCAGAGAGGAAAGAAAGCGCTAAAATATAGAGAGAGAAAGAAGAGAGAGAGAATGAAACAGAGCATTCTCATTCCCATTCTCTGCTTCGCCATTTTCGGTTGCAACGGAATTTGACGACGCGTACGGGAGACTGAGCTCTGATCCGGGGCGGGCCGGTCAGTCGGATGGCGAAGACGGGAGTGTTCGATTCCGATCCGACGGTAACGGCGAAAGCGGCGGAGTTGAAGAGGGAGTTGCAGAGGCTGGTTAGGGCCATCGTCGACGACGAGGATTACAGCACCGAGACCGTCGATCAGGCCAAGGACGCGCTTTTCGCTCTCAAAGAACTCAAGCTCAGGAAGCGATCGGTTTCTTTGAAGCTTCACGACACACTCTCTTCTCCTCCGGAGTTTCGATGCCCTCTCTCCAAGGAGTTGATGAGAGATCCTGTTGTTGTTTCCACCGGACAGGTTTGTTCGTCCCTCATTTCGCTTTCGGAATTTCTTTCTTTTCTTGTTTGGTTTTCTGGAAAACGCAAGAAAAGATTGGAAATTGTTTCAAGTTTGGGCGTCATTCGGATGGTTTCGGCACAATTTGGGGGGAAATTTGGTTTTTTCTTTCAACTTCCGGCATTTACGAACCGCGTTAGTTTTAATTTTCTTTCTCCTCTCTTTCCTCTGTTTTCTTTGTAACCAAATCGAGGCTTGGATTTCTTCTTTCTTTTTTCTTCAAGATTTGTTATCTTTCTTTTGAAACATTCACTGCTGAAAATTTCTCTTGTTCAGCATGCCTTTTTCTCTGAGTTTTTCTTTCATACTTTATCCTCTGTTCCGAGGCTGAGAAATTGGAGAAAGGAAATGATTTAGTGAACATAAATTGTTCTGGAGCTTCGCATTCGAGTATCAGAAATCTAGAATCTCTACTACGTTTACCCCAAATTGTAGAGGATGATATATCAAAAATTATATTCTCTCTTTTCTGTTTCTGAACAAAAAAAAAAAAAAAAAATGCTGCAAGGCATGACTAAGGAAAAAGGAAGATATAGTAAGATAATTTATTGCTGATGTCTTTGGTTTTAACTTCTTAGCCATTCTTGGGAATTTTGATTTCTGGGTGGTTGTTGAAGTTATATAGTATGGGCTTCAAGTACTGCAATTGTCTGTACTGTTGCTAAAACTAGAACTTGAAGTATTAACAACAGGAAGTTGAAACTTTCTTTTTCCTATTCAACGGTGTCCCTGTATTTGTCATCTTTCTTAATGAACTCTGAAGCCAAATATGTCCGGATTATTAATGTGGCTGGCTGTCTTGAATTAGCATGTGAAGAACAATAAATAAAAGCTCTCTTTCAAAGAAAGATCTAATTTGTCTTTGCATATTTCCTGGTTTCTGCAATAACCCAGTTCTAACTTGTTTTATTTTCATTGTTTCTACTGATAGACATATGATAGACCGTTTATCCAGAAGTGGCTGAAGGCGGGAAACAGGACATGCCCTCTTACCAAACAAGTCCTTTCGCACACAAACCTCATCCCAAATCACTTGATTCGGGAAATGATATCACAGTGGTGTAAGTGCCGAGGTATTGAATTGTCAGACCCTCTTCACTATATAAACGAGGAAGGTATAACGGAAGCCGATCGGGACCATTTTCTTTCTTTGCTCGGAAAGATGTCTTCATCACTCCCTGAGCAGAAAGAGGCTGCAAAGGAGCTTAGAATGTTGACGAAGAGGATGCCATCGTTTCGTGCGCTTTTTGGGGAGTCTCTAGATGCCATTCCTCAATTGCTCCGTCCACTCTCGGAAGGGAAGTCACAGAGTGGCATTCAACCTGAGATTCAAGAAGATGTGATCACGACACTACTGAATCTCTCAATCCATGATAACAACAAGAAGCTTGTTGCAGAAACCCCCATGGTAATACCTCTACTCGTGGAAGCCCTCAGATCAGGAACAATTGAAACAAGGACCAATGCCGCTGCAGCCCTCTTTACTTTGTCGGCTCTTGATTCCAACAAGGCGCTCATTGGGAAATCAGGAGCACTAAAACCACTCATCGACCTTTTAGAAGAGGGGCATCCGATGGCCATGAAAGATGTTGCTTCTGCAATCTTCAATCTATGCATCATCCACGAGAACAAGGAAAGAGTGGTACGTGATGGTGCAGTCGGGGTGATTCTAAGGAAGATAACCAACCGTATGCATGTTGATGAGTTGTTGGCTATCCTCGCAATGATTGCGACCCACCAAAAGGCCGTGGAAGAAATGGGAGATCTTGGAGCCGTTCCTTGCTTGCTCAATATAATCAGGGAAAGTACTTGTGACCGTAGCAAGGAGAATGGCATTGCAATTCTTTATGCCATATGTTTAAACGACCGAACCAAGTGGAAGGAAATGAGGGAAGAAGAGAAAAAGTTTGGAACAATATCAAAACTAGCCCAGAATGGCACTTCTAGAGCCAAAAGAAAGGCTAGTGGCATTCTCGAGAGACTGAACAGGGCCGTTAATTTGACACATACTGCATAAGTGGGATTGTTTTTGTGCTCTTTTGGAGAAGTATAGTTTGTAAATTCTACATCTATTTTCTTTTTCCTTGTGGCTGGTGGAACTTTGCCATCATGTACATTCTATATGTTTCCCTCTTGAGGCTCAGATTTTCAGGTTTTTGGTCGCCTAGTCATTGTGAATAAATTACGCGATACAAGCTTGTTTATGATCTATACGATTTTCTTTTGCCAACTCTTAAACCTGATAAAAACGTAGATTTCATGAAAATTATCTAGAACCCCAACAATTGCCTACAAGGGGAATTACTCGAGCGAACGTACAAGTTTCAATTATATTGGGGGGATAAATCTGACTAGAATCCAAGCGTCTCCTTTATTTTACTTTTGACCTCGGAATAGAGCCAAACACAATGGAAACCACTCCCAAAGATTCCAAAATTAATGAACCAGCGGTTGTGAATGATGAAAGAGAAATGTAAAAATGCAAACGAGAAGAAGGTGGCCATATTCAATGGTGCTGTTACACTTCACGGTTGTGGTCCATTAAAGATGCCTTCATTCTCTTGAAATTATTCAACAGAAAGAGTTATCCGCCTACTTATTGTTTCAACGCAAATACATATAGACATATAGATATATACATATAAATACATACATATATATATATATATATATATATATATACACATATATATATATATATATATATATATATACACACACACACACATATATCTGTGTATATAACAATGGAAATTTTTTGGCGGACGTTGACATTGTACAATGTCTATACATATATACACCTTATCCTTGGATTCCTAGTGCGCCATATCTCCTCTCAGCCTCTTTTCATCTTTCCTTTTATTTGGAAGATTTTTATGTGGATACTGTGTTTTCCTTTAAAACCCTTTCACTTGCTCTACATAAAAGTCACACCAGATTCCCCATTGTTTGTCTTTCTTATGGTGAATTATTTGCATCAAGTTGATTCTGAAAAGCAACAAAGAAAAACTACTTTCTTTCTAGGTTTAATATTATTGTTTTGTGGGCTTTAACTCTTCCAATGCTGACACTTATTATCTTGCATGGTAAAAAAAATAGCACGTAAAAACAAAACAAAATCAGACACGTTTGGAGAACCAACAAAAATAAGAAAAACTACTCACGTCCCAACAACCTAGAACAAAGATAGACAAAACTGATTAAGAGGTGGATTAATGCAACTCTTGTACAAATCCAAAAAGAAAAACAATAAATGGAGGGACCAAACAGGCCTCCCATGTGGCAGTTGCACTATAATTAACCACAACCCAATTATCAATGCACCATTTCGGCCAGCCTTTAGCCCAGCAATATTGGCAGCAAATGGACCAGGCTTGAAGGGCTTTTTCCCTTTGTGTCTGAAATCTGCTCTCATTGTTGTAATTAGATAGAAACACAAGGTTTTTGTTTTTTTTTGCCCCCCTTAATATTCAGCCAAGAGAAAGGGGATATAGAGAGGGAAAAAAAGAAAAAGTTTCTAATAAAAAAAAGAAAAGTGAACAAGAGATATATAGGTGGCAACAGTGTCTTATTAGTGAATTATTGATGGTTTGATGTGATGAGATGTAAAATGAGAATTGGTTTTATGTGCTGGCGCTTCGGAAGTGACATGATGGTCTATTCAAACCCAATTCCTAAAAAAAGCTAATTTGGGATGGGAATGGCACAAATTTGTGGTGCAAAATTAGATTCTTTCTTGAAACCAAACACACATGAAAACTGGATAACACACATAGTTACAGAAATAAATGGGTGTCTCACCGCTGAATTGACTGTTCCTTAGAAAGAGTTTAACGAGGTCCGGTGCCCCATTTGTGACGCTGAAAAGACTTTGCAAAATGACTGTACATTAACTTCCTACCGACCACCAATCAGTGGTAACAACACTTCTCCTTCTTTATCATACCAAAATGTGCCCAAAGTTCCATATTTTAATTCTCCGTTTTAAAAACGCAATCAATATTTATTATACAATTTTAAGTGCACGGTGACATGAATGAAAATTAAGCTCATCTATAAAATAAAATTGGATATTGTCTTTCATGTTTTATTGGTAAACCTGAAATTACTAAAGTCGCTGTAGAAATAGAAGACAGGATAATACCAATAATTTTTTTTCTAAATAACATAAAAGGAAAAACAAAACAATAAGAAACCTCATACCGAACAGGAAAAAGAAATAATAGTGAAATAAAGAGCTTAAAGAACTTTAATTCCAAACCAATGATCTGGCAAGACCTTCCTCAATCTAAAATGTGTTGAAAATCAAAACGAGGTAGGGAGAGTTTGAGGTTGACATTGGACAGAGGATTCGGTCACAAATGTCGTTCGCTTGGTTGGCTTTTCTTGCTTTCATCACATGCATTTGTTGATCAAGCAACAAAAGCTAAAAATAATCTCAATCTTTTTTTTTTTTTTTTTTTTTTTTTTTTTTTTTTTTATGTTAAAACTTAGTTTTCATCCTTCACCATCTAAGAAAAGAAATGACAACTCTACAAATAGAGTTATTTCACTTCTAATTTTGTGAGAAAATCAGCTTAAATCTCGAGATTTTAATTTATTTTGATTTTTTAATGCATTTTTTATTTTGGTTTTATTAGATTTTTATTTATTTTTGTGTTTTTATTCTATTTTTTTTGTATTTTTATTTTATTTTAATTTGTATAAATAAATATTTATATAATATAATATGTGTTTGTATGTGCGTGTATATATATAACAATATAATATTATTATAAATAAATAATATATATTATATTCTATTAGGTTTTTATATAATATAAATATAATAATTTTTATTTTATTTTAATTTGTATAAATAAATATTTATATAATATAATATGTGTTTGTATGTGCGTGTATATATATAACAATATAATATTATTATAAATAAATAATATATATTATATTCTATTAGGTTTTTATATAATATAAATATAATAATTTTTATTTTATTTTAATTTGTATAAATAAATATTTATATAATATAATATGTGTTTGTATGTGCGTGTATATATATAACAATATAATATTATTATAAATAAATAATATATATTATATTCTATTAGGTTTTTATATAATATAAATATAATAATTTTTATTTTATTTTAATTTGTATAAATAAATATTTATATAATATAATATGTGTTTGTATGTGCGTGTATATATATAACAATATAATATTATTATAAATAAATAATATATATTATATTCTATTAGGTTTTTATATAATATAAATATAATAATTTTTATTTTATTTTTAACTTGAATTGCATCCATTGGATTGAAGCACTTAGATAGTCAGGATTGGAGAGGGCATTAGACTCTTTGAGGGAAGAGAGTGAGCAGACAAGAAAACATCAGCGGACCTCACATGTTGAAAAGAATCTTTCTTGCATTTGTTCCCATGTGAGCAAGTTTATGTGAGCTTACTTTTTCTTATCAATCTAGTTGCGCAACATGTCATGCTTATTAATTTAGTGGTCCTGATCAATTTAAAATTTTTGTTGATTTTTTATGGCCAATAGAAATCCGGTTTCATGTAGTCCTTGCCGCATTGAATTAAGTCCAAAATATTGGATTCTCATGGTGATTTCAGAGGAAGAAAAATAATAAAAAAAATAAAAAAATTCTAAAGAAGGCAACTTGCAAAATCATTTCATTATGCGCCTGTTCTGTGACTCTACAACATCCATGCATTGGACTCATATGCATTCCAAGGCCTATAAATAGGTTGCTTCCTTAACTCTTCAAATCAATCCCTCGAGTCTTAGAGCTCTTTACAAATAAAATAAAAAAAATCTTTGTTTTAGTAATTTTTAGTTTTTAAGTTTGAATTCTGGAGGAAGAGTTTCGAGTCTTGTTAAGAGATATTTGAAGCATATTAGAAATTGTATCCGCCAATAATTTTTGTACTAAAACTCTGCTTTTATTTTTGTTGTTACGAAAATGTTGTTTTAACTTTTTTGTACTTTGTTAGTTTAATTATAATTATGTTTTAAATTTAAGTTTTGCTAGGATAATGGAGTAATCATATTATGAGAATTTAATTTGTGTAAACGTTATTGTGATTGTCATACTTGTGTTGACATATTTATTTTTGGACATAATTTATGATCAACTTTTTGAATGAAATGAGAATCAAAATGAAACCGATAGGAGATTTTTGTGACATAGCTCTGAAATAAATACCTTAAATTCTAGGATAGTATAGAGATATATCTATTAGTTTTTATGTGGTCATTTTTAAATCCTTTAAATCTCAATGAACATTTTTGTAATTTAATTTGCATGGAGATATAGTGAGATTTTTATGAAAATGTATATTTTTCTGTATAATTTGAGAAAGAGTACGTAAAACATGAGAGGATTTAACAATCAACATAGTGTGATCTTAAAATCACAGTAATGTTTAAATAAATTAAATTCGATAAATATTGATGAAATCATGATTCTCAACAGTTTCATAATCATTGTTTTGTCCTTGTCTTGTCATTTTCATAATAATTTTATTTAGAAAATAATATTGGTTGTTGTTTTAAATTTTAATTTTGTAAAATTAATCATAATTCATCTTTTTGTTTACTAAACTAAAATTAAAATTATCTAATTTTAGTACTTAATGAATATATTATTCTCATGAGAACGATACTCTTAAACTTACTTTTTATTACTTGTTAGTGATATTGTGCACTTGCAAGTTGCAATAGACACGATAACAAGAAACTCTGATTAAATCAAAAGAACCAAACACGACAAAATATTCTGATCTCAATAAATTTATTGAAAAAGCATTCTGGGTGGACCAATCACCCACTCTTGAGGTGCCAACGGTTGACCCCTATTGAAGGCTGGATTTACAGACTAAAGGCCTCAAGAGACATTGGCGGATTGGCCCATGATGAAATACCCAATACTCTATAACCCACTATGATCACGCCATTCTTTTTTAGACCATTCTTTCAGTTGATTACATATATGTCTATTTTACAATTAATAAAAAAAAGAATATTCACAAATTATTATATTTACATATAAGTCTATAAAATAACCTGTAATGACATTTTTATTATTAGTTAATTTCCTTTTAAAATCAGTTTTATAAACTCACCACCCAAATAAAAAAAGGTATATTTAAAATTATATTATATCAGTAACCATAAAATATATAGATAAAATTGATGAATTAAA